CCGTCCCGGTGAGTTATATATATATGATAGGGAATGTGGCCAAATATTATGAATTATGTACTCTTCACTCTTGCATTCTTAACCGTTGATATTTCATACCCTCTACCAAATTTCAAATCTGATGCACATGAGTAAATATTACATACGTTCATAATATGTACCATTAACGATGTGGATGCAACGAGCTCACGATACTTTTTCTTGTGCACATCTATACCGTCGACATACATTCGCTCGAACGTATGTAAGCCTGGATCTCGAACATGTAAGTACATATGAATTAAAAGGTATGTTTGTAAATCTTTCATAATTTAACTGTCCTGTAAAATTAGGTTTTTCATTTTCATTTTTTGCACTAAAATGCCAAAACATGGTATTATTGCAGCCATGACAGACCAATTTATAGCAAACTCATGCCATCAATCATGAAAACTATTGCAGCCTTTTTCCATTAATTTTATTACTAAAAATGTAAATTGAGTACAATAATACATCACAAAGAATATTTAGCTGTCAACCTCTGAACATGAAAGAGTGGGCCCTTCTATAAACCAATCATTGACCTCCCTTTTTTTTTGGGATCAATGAAATCTTGCAATTTTTGTGCTTGAGGAAATGCTCCCATGGGTTATATAAAGAGAAAAAAATAGAGAGGAGAATGAGGGAATTATAGCAATATAGTTCTTCCCTTTCAAACTTTTTTTTTCCCCTTTCTTCCCTATTCCAATGAACACCGCGATCTCTGACTCGGCTTCACCGGATGCTGTCAGACAGACTCAAGACAAAGGATACACTATTCATGGAGAGATCATGTTGTCTGTGATCGTATCGATGTTTACTATTTTTCTCTTATGTCTTCTCTTCTACGTCTATCTTCGTAAATTTCGTTGGCGGCAAAAGGAGGAATCTGAGGATGATGCCATAGGGGGCTTGCGAATGGGCGAGAAGCCTGCGGTTTCTATGAGTTTGGTGAATTTCAATGCTGCAGATCAATGATTCGCTAAGCGTTGGCATTGAGCAGAATGACCTATTAAGTGAAGCCCCATTGTGGCTGAAAATAAGGTTTGAATCATGGGAGTAGAGCTAGCACTCGCTCTCCTTCCCGCATTTCCTAAAAAAGAAAAAAATATATATATAATTATGTATGATATGAAGGTTTTATCATTAAATTATCTTGTAATCATGTAGATTATAGAAGTTTGATTCTTCCTTAATTATGGGTTAAATCTTAATTAAATCACTAATTTGCTGTTTTTTTCTAAACTCAACTGAAGGGCTTAGTGAGGACAATAGAAATTATGAGCTTTCAAGCTTGTTAGTTATTGCATTTTTTTTTTGTTTTTAGATTAATATAATATTAAAAATTAATTAAATTTTATCTTATTTTTTATTTTCTATTTTGATTTGCTCAAATATAAGAAAAATAAAAATATTTGTAATTCAAATATATATTTGGAGTATACAAATATAATGTTTCTCTTAAATATAGAGGTATTTACATCCATACCACCAATTTCTTATGTATATAAACATCTAACATATAAAATTTACATTTTTACATTTATAACACCCAAATTTTGCTGTTTAAATTATAAAATGTCAGCATTCAATCATTCCAAACACTTGTTTGTATTCACTCTATGAGATTTTTATAATAATTTCAATAAATATTAAAATATTTTTAAACAAAGATTTTAATTTCAGAATCTACATCACTAACTTAACATTTATATAAAATTAAATAGTGATGAGTGCTAGAAAATTTACGGCATTAAAATAGTAAATTATCGTCTTAGCGTGGTGTGAAGATTCAACACATGCTCAGTAAAAAGAGCAACTAATAATGACACCAGAAATTTTTATGTTGAAAAACGAGAAATGGAAAATCACGGGGACTGACCGAGACGATTACAGTTGCAACAACTTATCCCGTAAGCAAGAAAGAGTTACTAGGTTTTCTAAGTTACAAAGACGACTGCTGACGAGTGATAGTGATTGGCAGGGTCCGGTCGGTGGTGGTCGGCGGTGATTGACAACAGTCGGCGGTGATTGACGGTGGTCGATGATGGTTGACGACTGCATAAGTGCACGCGCGACGGCTGACGTTAAATTTTAATTTATTCTAAAAATTTATAAGCCGTAAAACTAATATCCAACATAAAAAGTAGGAATCTGAATGAAATCCACATGGTGCCAACCGAACCAATCAGGTTTTTGTTCGATTCCGGTTGGCAGATTCTCTAATTTCTTACACGCCAGCTCTTCCTGCAGTTTGGTCGGCTTATCATCCAAAGAGGACAAAGAGACCACGTCATGTTTTTCTCTTTCCTATGCTGGATTATTCATGAATCACATCTGAAAATATAACATAAAATAATAAAAAATAGAGAAATAATAATAATAATAATGAGCATTAATAAATATGTATTTATAGAATATTTCTTCTATAGACAATAGATCTTTGGAAGGTGTTTGTATAGGGGTATTTTTGATATTTTATTATTATGGGTTTCTTCCTCGACAGTCTTCGGGCGGTTTATTTGATTACCTTCGATTCTTCGGGAAGAGTTTTTTTTGAGATGGTCGGAGGTACTTTGAGGAACTGAATCTTTCTTTGAATCGGCTCTAATGGGAAAGGTGGTCGATTACATCAAGTGTTTTTTTTGTGTTTGCTGGCTCGGATGCTAATTTTTATTATATTCGATCGAATGACTTGTGCTTGAATTATCGGAGCGTCTTCTGGCCTCATTTGCTTAGGCAGGCCCCACAAACTCCAGACAAGGGGCAGTCTTCATCTGGACTGCTAGATCACTTTGAGATCAGTGCAGACACTTTTATCAATCATAAATGACATAAGTCAGATCATTGATACATGATTACATTTCCAAAAAAAAAAATTATATTGATCATAGGCGGATCTTAATGCATATTAGGATTTGGTACTGTCGGAAGCTCAAAATATTAAGTTAACAATTGCCTACACTGATTTCGATAAAGTAGCTCAGTGAGTTGAAAAAAAATGACATAAAAAATTATATAATTTGAGTCCAAGTGAGAATTGAATATACGCTTAAAACATAATAAAAAATTTTCAGACATACTTTGCATAATCAAATGATCTTCAATTCTGGCAAACTTACAATTAAATCGAGTATCTCGATGAGAAAAATCTAATGAGCCCGATGTTGCTCAATTTCAGTGTCATTAATGCACTCAAATGTTCATCAAATGTCACCGATCAAACAGATTTCTGTGGATCGTCTGATCAAGCGCGATATGGATTATTTCTTTATTTGCAACTTAACTCTATAAATAAAACTCTATCCCCCTCATGTGAGGGGACATAGAACATTGGCGTGCGGAGGATCATAGCTTACAAAATTGGGAGCTGCAACACAACATCCTGCACAGCAGTTTTAACGCTTACTAGCCATCGTTGCCATTTCTAGTTACCGCCACCTCGGGTCGCTGTCTTTGGCCAACTTCGGTCGCCACTAAAGGTAAACGTTAGTTGTCGTTGCTGTCACCGTCGTTTCTAGTCACCACCACCTTCAACCAATTCCTGTCATCGCCGCCACCTATCCCGCCGTTGCCTCCTCTACTTCTGGCCGTCGTCGTAGTGGCCTTTGCTCCTTGTTGTCGTCGCCATCGTTGCTTCCGCTTCCAGCTGTAGCCGCTTCGGCTTCAGGTCGCCATCGTTGCTTCCGCTTCCATTTATACCTCCGCCTCCAACACCCTTCCATATGTGAACTTTTTTTTTATGTACATGAGTTCTAATCAAAGAAACTGTGTAATTTGTTTCTGTTTGTGAGACAAAGGGTTGTACTTTTTAGTGAAATATTTCAACCAGACAAAGCTCGTGATTTTTTTTCCTTTTTGGGTTTTTAAGTAAGAACTTTTGGTATCCCTATTGATTATCTTATTTCCTCTGAGTGTGTGCTGGATTGTCGCATAACATTAAGATAACAATTCACTACTATACAACCACGAGTTTACTAGCGCACATCAAAGTAAAAAAAGAATGCATTATAATTTAAATATAATGTATTTGAAATGCTTTAGAACCTTTTAATGTGTAAATTAAACACAAAAGTTCATTTTTGTATCTTTATTTTAAAGTGAAATGAAATCAATGTAAACCCATATGCGACGATGGCGTTAGTGGTGTGCGGCCTTTGACGATAAAGACAATGACGATGATCAATGAGCAGTGGTTGACACTCATCAGTCAATGATGCCAGTCAGATGAAGACGAGTAGCAATCGACGTCAACAATGGATGATGACAAGTGGCCAACAGTTGATAGGCGACAACAAACTCTGATGATCGTGGTCGATTGCACCCCATGATGAATGCAGAGATAACTTTTGTGAAATACATGGAGATTGATAAAATATGACAAATTTCAAATATGCCTAATCTTTAACTAACAAATAAATTCTAGATTTACAAAAATCTTACATGCATTTCATTTTTATACTATGAAACACCTATATTTGAAAATGTAATACATTTGATTCGAATTACACCTATTAATGCAAGCAACTAAACAACCCATAACCATTTTCCAAACAAGCCCACAACCATCTTCCAAATTCCTACTTCACTTTGCGTAAAGCCTTAAAATCAAATTTTGAAAATTAATATATAAATATTGATATATTGATGTTGATATATACAAGTGCACATATATGATTAACCCGTTCTCTTTGATTTTCGAGCCAAATTTCAATCCAACGGTAGAGAGTACCTCGGTGCCCTAAAATCCACGGCTAAGATTAACTCAAATAGATCTAACGGCTTCTCTTTCTCCGACCGAGGGTTTATCCATCTCGTATCTTCATCCTCTCCGAAAGCCGGAGATTCAATCGAGCGGGCGGCGGTTTGAGCAGCTTTAGCTCCGGCGATCTCCTTGGAGACCATTCAATTACCACATTGTCAAGATGCCTAAGTCAAAGCGCAACCGTCCCGGTGAGTTCTCATAGAAATCGCCCTTTTTTCCCCGATCAATCGCTACTTAAACCCCAGAAAACCCGAAACAATTCACCACTGTTTTAAACGCATGCAGTGACTCTTTCTAAGACCAAGAAGAAGGGAAGAGATCACAAGGAAGTCATCGTGAATTCTGTAAGACAAGCTCTGGAGGATTATAACTCCGCTTATGTGTTTACTTTTGAGAATATGAGGAATCAGAAGTTGAAGGAGCTCAGGGAGCAGCTCAAGCCGAGCAGCAGGTTCAAACTTCACATATCTATGTGTTAATCGTTCTGGAACTCATTGCATACTTGTAGGCTGATGTGGTATTTTGGCAGATTTTTTCTTGGATCCAACAAAGTCATGCAGGTTTCTTTGGGCCGATCAGCAGCTGATGAGGTTAAGCCTGGCATTCACAAGCTTGCAAAGGTGTGGCAAAATCCTGTTCTTGAGCCTAAAGGTTTTTAGTATTTGTTCTGGACTTATATTCTATTTTATTTTTAACAGTTCCTTCGAGGTGATTCTGGACTTTTTTGTACTAAGCTTTCAAAGGAGGAGGTTGAGAGGTATTTGTTCGGTGCTTGATAATCTCTGGATGTTTGTGCTTGCGTTTTGAACTTATTACTGTAAAACTTGCTCATTTTTTTGCTCTACACCCTTCTCAGGAAATTTACCTTTCTGTAATTTGCTACCAGTTCTTACATATTGAATGGTAATTTAAATACTGTCTCTAGCTATGCAAGTTATTTGTTCTTTGATCTTTAGTAATAAGTGAATTATTCAGTAGAGATATTGCTATTTCTATTTCTACAGCATCTAAAGCCTAAACACATAAACTTGATGGTGTAATTAAACCCAAAGACTAATGAAATGTAAAATATCAAACCAAAGACTCCGGCACTTTAGAGTGAATTGAATGACTATGATTATAATAAATTTTACAATCAATCTCTAATATACTAAATTGAAGATAAAAAAAAAATGGAAAAACTTCACAATAATCATCAAGATTGAATGAGGAAGGATATCAGCACGATCGAATTCCTTAAGGATGGATTGGCTATATGAACAGTACTCTTCTCCAATAATGAAAGCTCTCCAATTCTTAGATCCACCAAATTCTCTATCAAAATTTGTGTAATATTTATATACTCAATTAACTACAATAAAATTTAAAATATCCAAAAATTTTTTCCAAATGTTAACCCAAGTTAACCAAATAGATTTCCAACTATCAGTTAAAGTAACTATTAATTGCTAAATTAAGTTCAACCCACAAAATGATTATCATTGATCCAATAATTAGTGACAAGTCGTGAAACAATGAAACTTAATCCCTACCACTTAGCGGTGGCATGCTAATCGAATGACACGTCCAATAATACTAGGAAGCTAAATTACAAATTAATTTATAATTTATTTATATAATAGAGTTCTAACTAAGTCCAAATACTTAAAAAAATGCTTGCAAGTAAGTTCCTTAAAATAGTTTTATAATTATAAGTAATATTTGCAATAATAAGGGAATTAATCACATAAATTAAAAATTAACTCAATCGATTTCCAAAAAATTATGGGGTTTTTACATACGTACCACCTAAAACACATCAATTTACATCCTTAACACCTAAACTTTCCATATTAACCACCCCACCCCAAACTTCCCCGTACACCAAAATAAACATTCTCTGTTACACCTTACCCTTGCCATCTACAGGTTGTCTTTGGCTATTTATTATGTGTTGCCTTTGATTCGATTTTAAATGGTACGATTTTTTATTTTTTTCCGTTGCCGGATTTGATGAAACTCTATATGGATGCACTATGGAAGTGCTCGCGGGTGAAACTTAATGTGAATGTTATGCCTCCTGTAGCTGAGAAGATCTGCATATTTTTCTTTTGTTTTGGAGCATTAGCAGTTTTGGTGTATCTGGAATTGGCAGTGGAAAATTTTTTTCGAGTCTTGTAAAATTTTATATGCAGAGGTTGAGAAGAAAGAAAGTAGGAAATATCACTAGTTGTGCAGCTTGCTGGCGTATCTATTGTTGTGCTTGGGGTGGTTACTTGAGACGGTTCCGCTTCTGTAGCAGACTTCAAGAATTGATCTCAAAGAAAACCTCATGATACATCTCTCTGCTGAGTAAACGAACAAAAAGCCAAAATTTTGATAACCAAAGAAGACGACAGTAAGGGTGAACAGGTTGGAGACAGAGTCGAGGGTAAGGTGTAACGGAGAGTGTTTGTTTTGGGGTAATGGGATGTTTGGGGTTTTTAATTTGTAAATATTTAAGTTTGGGTGTTGAGAATGTAAATTGATATGTTTTAGGTGGTAGGTATGTAAAAACCCCAAGAATTATTAATTAAACATTAAACTCAAATCTATATTTTGAATAAATATAATCAATTTTACTTGCGCTATTATCTCTAAGAGCTTTGATAATACACGCTCAATTGATTTATAATGACAATCAAAGATACATACACTAATATACATAAGCTTCGGATTTGTAAATCTTTACTTGAGTATTCATAATTCTCTTCTTGGCTCTTCCTATAAGCGATTAACTTCCAAGTAAGCCTCGTGAAACCAATATTCATCTTGATGATCACTGGAAAATAAATTACTTGAAGTAGAAAATTTTGCAAAACATTACATGACACTATACAAAATTTTTCTTTTCATTCAATTATTTTTAACTTGCATATGAGTCAAATGGGTTTATGAATCAATAATTCCTCCTATTCTTTTATACAAATTAATTTTGGAATTCAAGGATAAAATATAATCGTGTATTCAAAAATTGATACCAATTAAAAATGATTTAGAAATAAAGCATGAATTGAAATTCTATATTTGAGCTTTAAGATCAAAAGCTATATATAAATATAGAATTGAACTACAAGGACTGGTTATTTCCAACCACATCTCTAATTACTCTGAAGAAGTTCTTATATCAATCATAATCATAGGCCATTGGAAAGGGTTTCTGTGGTCAAACCAAGTTGCATAAGTTTGTTTACAATGAATGTGCATCACTTGGTCCACCGCCCGCCGCGCCCCCCCCCCCCCCAAAAAAAAAAAAAAACAGAGGTATATGAGAATCAAACAAAAAATTAGTAAGATTACATGATTATAAATTATGCTGAATTTAATTTGCATGCCATGATAAGTCAAAATTTGTTTAAGCAATATAATTAAGCATCTTTAAATAAGTGAGAACAAAGCAAGAACAAAACTAATAGGCATTTATGAATATTAAATCATGTGAGGAGCTAAAAATCCTTGTAAGACTAAGAGCTTACTATGTATCATTAAATCATGCGAGGAGCTAGAAGTTCTAGCAAGACTAAGAGCTTACTTTGCATCATTAAGTCATGATACGGCATAACAACATATGTTTTAGCAGGAAGTTTGATAATTGCTAACTATAAAATTAGCCATACTAATAATCAAAATATTTTCTTTAACATGGTTTAAGTGAAATTTATCAAATTTAAAGTCTGATTATTTTAATCTGGAGGCCACAAGAATCTTAGAAGTAACACCTTTGGTGCCCATGCTGTTTTAGATTCTCAATCATAAGGTATATTTTCTTTTTTCGCACTAAACATTGAAGAATTAGTTTCTATGACTGGATTAAATCAATTGGGTTGATGAAGGAGCACCTGTTATAACAACTGTAGAGATTTTGTAGATTACCTAATGGATTTGATTATATTCTCTTGGAAGTGTTATTGGAGGTGGTTGTGAGGACTATTTCAGTATCTTTTTCCTAGAAGGAAAAGTAGGCTAATGACATATTATACTCCATTTTTTGGAATATTTCACGTTCTATGGTTGCCCTGAGTGGTACCAAACCTTGCCTTTTCTGCTGCCTACTGTTTGTTAGTGTTTCATTGTTTCTTACCTATAATTTTATTGATCCATATTTGCTTTGCGCCTAGTCCTACTTTAAGTGTTGTAGTTGGACTAAGTGATGTACATCTTAATTTTATTAAACATGTGGATTATATAGGAATAGAATGAAATGGATAAGCAAATATTAAAATGAATATACCATTTTGAAATATCAAACAACTTTCTTTTTAATATTAATATGATTTAGATAGAAAATTTTTCTTGCAAGGAAGTTGATAAGGATTTCTAGACCAATTTTTAGGACATTTTAGGCTTATTTCGTATTTTGTTTTATACCTTACTTTTGAACTGAAATAGAATTTGAATTGGCTTCGAATTTATTTTATCTTTTTTACTGCACTTGTCTTCAATTCTTGCTAGTTATTCCTTTTTTGAATTTCATATGCAATTTTAGTAGTTAGCTTTTTTTTTTTGATGTTTCACTAGAGCGAGGCTTTTTATAAAGAGGCTTAAATGTTTCTCTTAGATGTTTGTTTAACCTTTAAAAGAAAATTGTTAATTAATCTGTAAATTCCATGGTCTGGATACTGTAATTAATAATAGTTTGGAAAGGTTGTAGAATATTGGATAAATAATTCATAGGGTGTACTATGACAAATTATTATACTTTTTTAAGGGTCTATGGTGTTGTAATTTCCAATTTAGAAAGCCTAAGAAGTTCTTTTATTCGGTTTTCTTTTGTTCTCATTGATGTTATTTGCTATGATTGAATTTTTTGAGATAGTGTATGTTTTTGTTAAAATGTGCTGGTAAGCTGTTTTGTAAATGTTTCATATAGGTTGCGCTGAAATTCCGCCATAAATATATCCTTGAATTGGGGCATTTACATACGCAGCACATAATTCTTATCTATTTACATAGCCCACACGTAAACTTTCATATTTACACAACACTCATCATTACCACCTTTTAAAAGCCAAATACACCTTTTCATGCATAGGTTTAAAGTACCAAAGTGCTATGTGTGTAAATATGTAAATATCAGTACGAGATATGTAAATCCATAAATTGTGTGCTACATAAATTTCCCTTTCGAATTTCACATTTGCTACAATTTGCGTTCCTTGTTGATTATTACTTTTTGTTGTCCTTTGCAGGTTGTTTAAACAATTTGAAGAGCATGACTTTGCTAGGGCAGGAAGCATTGCTACTGAAAAGGTTTCATTTTATTATTACTTTAGTTTCAAATGGCTCTTATTTATAGTCGAGATTTGATTCTTTTTCATACTCATCCCTAGAAGATGACACCAAGAGATATTTGTTTATAATCTTAAGAAACTAATTGACTCCGATCAAATAATGAGATTAAGATTACAAGATATTTTGATAAAAAATAGCTACTTCAAGAAGCAGACTTTCAGAAGAATTCCTCTCGAAATTGGTTTGTTGATTCTGTGCTAAATCATTTTCTTGTGATTCGGCGTTTTGGATTTCTTGCTGCTAGACTGCTTCAACCAAACTGGTAGATCAAATATAATGTTATTGGATATTTGGCAATCAATGCTGGCTTAGTTTGATACTACACTACCATCTCCTTTTCTCGCCTCTTCAATGTCTGGAAATTCTTCTCAAAATCAGGATAAATTTTGAAATCTATTTCCAAAAACTTATGGGCAAATTTAAGAGGCTGTGGCTTTAAATGGACATACGCACCCCAAAACAACAACACAACATAGCAAAAATATCCCATAGGAAAAAAAGTTATAAAAGCTATTCTTAACGAAAATTAGAATTAAACATGTAACCTTCTAAACTGTATCTTTTTTCCCATGTTGAAGATGGCTCATATTTGAAGTCTTGAATATTTCTTGTTCTTAGTAGGGTGAAATTCGGCAAGCAATTTTACAGACTTTCTCCAATGTTGCTTGCCTATCAAGTGAAATCAACCTTTCGGGATTGTGGTAAATTTCTATGTTGGGAAATTTGCATAAATACCACACAATTGTTTTGCATTTACATATCTAATACTTAAACTTTCATATCTACATTTATAACATTTGGTCTCATGAACCTATGCATAAAAGATGTACTTCACTTTTAAAAAGTTAATAAGTGGTGTTTTTGACATGATATTAAAGATTAGTGTTTTTTGTATGTAAATATTGAAGTTTTGGTGTTAGATATGTAAATACATAAGAATTGTGTGGTGTATAGGTAAATGCCCCTTTTATTTTTTTCAGCTACTTGGCGCGGTAAATATCCAACTATCAACACTTTTTTTCTCTTGCTGATTCCATGAATATTATATTTTCAGATTTTTTTTTTCCTTTGAAGTTCCTTATTCGGATGGGGATGTTATTAGTGGAATTCATGCTGGATGGTTGAAGTAGAGGAATGCATCGGGCCTATAATGTGATAGAAAAGTACCGCTTAGACTTAAAAGTAATATTTATAAGATGGTGGTGAGACCTGCAATGCAAAATGTTGGCCTATAAAAGAAAAGCTTAAAACTAAGTTACATGTCGTTGAGATGAGAACACTTAGGTGGATGAGCGGCTTTACACTTAGAGACAAAATGTGAAACGATTATATTCGTGAAAGGGCTGGTATAGCTCCAATGACAAATAAAATTAGACAGAGTCGTCTTAGATGGATTGGTCACATTAAATCTCGACCATCTGATGATTCGGTTCGGAGAGTGGATGTTTTATATTCGACTTCTTAGCAAAAAAGGCAAAGGTAGATCTAAAAAACCGGGCATGTTGTATAAAATATGATCTTAATTTATTAGAATTAAATGAAAATATCACACTCAATAAAACACAATGGAGAAAAGGATTCCTGTCGCCAACCCACTTAGTGGGATATAGGCTTGTTGTTGCTGCTGCTGTTGTGATCTTTCTGGCTCAATTCAATGATTCTCCTTTTCTATCTTTGGACGTTCGATATGCAAATGAATGCCTGATTGAATTGTTGTGGAAGGAATATTGTTACAAATGTTTTAATATTTTGTTTGTTTCCATAGAAAAGTCGTGTGTAAGGTCTCTTTCCTTTCTATTTCCTTTCAGATTTTTTTTTTTAAATTCATTTGAAATTAGATTGAATTGAATCTCCTTATCAAGCCCTTTTTTTAGTGCAAATTGCATTACTAACAAAAAAGATTACAAAAAACAAAATAAAGAAAACTAGCCTGACAAAATATGGGCCCGGTCAAAATCGACAAAAGGAAAAAGAAAATGTGAACTATCAACATTACCATCACAAAAAGAAACATGTATGACCTTTTTTGCACAAGTATGAGCAGCTAAATTCTTTTTTCCTATCAAAATGTTTGAAGAGGACTTGCTTAAAAGAAGCCAAAAAAGAGAACTCTTAATGTTGACACACATCATTTGTTGCAAAGAAGCAATAATATTATGATTGTCAATTTCAATGATAATACCCTTGACCTCAAACATCCAAGGGTCCACATAAGTCTTGATTGATCGGATCGCCTGAAGTTCCACAAAGGTGCTATCCCCATGATCAATTGGATGGCCTGCCACCAAAATAATGTCACCTTGCTGATTCCTAACTATCACACCGATTCCGCCCATGTAGGAGTGAAGAAGAGCACTATCAGCATTAAAGTTGAGCCAACCAGGAAAGGGATGTATTGGAAGCGCCTATTTTGGGATGTATTGGAAGCACATTCCATGTTCTCAGAGTGAATCCTGACATTTAAGTTTGCATGCAATGAAACAAAATGTGATAATTATGGGCATCACCAATTTATCATATTTTGAATTTTTTTTATTTTTTATTTTTTATTTTTTTATATATTCTTCTTATGGGTTTGTAATGGCTGGCGAAGATTAAATTTTGAACGTTCCACGGGTTATTGTATTGCTAGTATTTTCCAATCTCTTCCCTTCATTTCCTCATGCCTTCACTGATAAGATGATTTTGGTAAAAAAATTCTTTTGTTTCCCACTCATGATTATTGCAGAAGATAATTTACCGAGCATTACCATGGAGGGTTTTCTCGTTCATTTAGCTTTTTCATCATTTTAAATTTTCACTAATCTTTAAGAAATGATGCCTAATTTCCTCTATTATGACAAGTGAATATTTCTAAAGGGTGATAATATGAGAAAGGTTGTTTTGACTGGTAAACTTTTTAATTTATCAATTTACACCAACGTTTACACATTTATAAAAAAAATAGAGTTCCTAATTGATTAATCTCATGAATTTTAAAATAAGCATTACATTCTGTGCTTGCTTTATTGTGTCAAGCCGAAAGAGTTTGTGTTAAATCGGATTATTGGGTGTAAAAAAGATGATTTTTGACAAGTAAAAGGTTTAGTCACGTAGTTTATATAATCAACAAGATAACTACAACAGTGATTACGTAAGCATGAAGAAGAATTATTCTGAGATATTTAAGCTAGGATTCCAAACCCACAATTAAATGCAGTAAACATGGAATTTTTTTTTTATTCCGGGTGTTGGTGGATGGGTAATGCTATATCCCCTCGCCTCTAGCAGTTTTAGTGGTAATTCTAACCTTCCTTGAGCTTTTGCACTTAACTTAATGAAAATTATGCAATTAAAGGAGAAAAGATCAGTGAACCAGGACAACTAAGGTGAAGTTGTAGATTTTGTAAACAGTTTCTATTGGAGTAAAGTGCCAAAGAAGTCCCCGGATTATTTATTTGGTCACTTTAATCCTAGAGTTTATAGAGGTGTCAAATACAAATTAGTCCACTCTTATAATTTGGTCTAAAATAGTCTCCGTTGCGACTTTCAACCTATATGTAATGAATTTGGGGATTAAATTGACACTTTTATGAACTCTGACCCTCCAAAAAAAAAGTCCGGGGATAATTTTAACACTCTTCTTGTTTCCATTGTATGCAAATTTAAAGGATTTTATACACTCAAATCGAACTCGATATATCTCTACTCTTGTGTTTATCATAATGTTGAGCATAATATTTAGATACTTTAAAGATTTGTTTTTGTCAAACACTTATTCACTCAGTGAGCAGCTCTGGTAAAAATTCTAATATTTCATCGTGGACCTCTTTTAGTTTTTTCTCTATTTTTTACTTTTGCTCTCTAAATTAGTTTTTTTTTTTAATTATTTTTTGAAATCTTCTATCAGTCTCAATGGTTGAGATTTTTGCGCTGTATTTGGGCCCTCGTACGTGCTTGCGTATCACAATGACACGTGCTCATTGTTTTGCCTTTTTTTCTATCGTCGTTCGGACTGAGACACTTTTATACTGTACGTCATGTTTAATATAAGTGGAGAGATATATTATGGTTTTCAACTTGAGCTTCTTCATCAAAGAACTAAAATTGTTAGTATTCATTTGTGGTTACTGCTATTATTAATTTTGGAAGATTTACATACATACATAACACTTAATCCCTATCTATTTACATAGCTAGCACCTCTACTTCAATTTTTATGTATATACCACATTTTCTATGCATGAAAGGGTGTAATTCCTTTTTTTTAATTTAGAAAAAGTGATATTTTTGATGTGATATGAAAGATTTGGGCGGCATAAATGTAAAAAAAACAAAAATTAGGTGTTAGATTTTCAAGTGCATAAGAATTGAGTATGTGCAAATGCCCCATTAACTTAGTGTTCATCGACATGACTATGTGAAGAAAAAGGTTGTTTATTGCAGATAATGTTTTTAAAACATCTGTGTTCTTCATGTAATTTTTCATCTTTTTGTTAATTTCTGCGGTGCTGCATATTGATTTATTGATTTATTTCTTTGTTCCTTTCAGGTTGAGCTGAAAGAGGGTCCTTTGGAAGAGTTCACCCATGAAATGGAACCATTTCTCAGAAAATTAGGCTTGCCAGTTCGCTTGAACAAAGGTCCTGCTTTATTATTATTATTATTTGAGGCATTTACATACATACCACACAATTCTTATGCATTTACATATATAACACCTAAAATTTTTATATTTACGTACATAACACTCTAATCTTTATTATCACATAAAAAATACCGCTACTAATAACTTTTTAAAAGTGAAGTATACCTTTCATGCATACGTTCATGACACTGAAGTGTTATGAATGTAAATATCAAACTTTAGGTGTTAAATATGTAAATACAAAGGAATTACTTTATGTATATAAATTTTCATAGTTTTTTACAAGACTTTCTTTTGACTGTACAAGTTTTTCATTTCTTAAAGCTGAAGTGCTGATAATTAATCATTTTGCAGGAGTTATTGAATTGGTTTCTGACTACGTTGTGTGTGAAGGAGGGCAGCATCTGTCTCCTGAATCAGCTCGTATACTGGTATGTCAATGGCCTACATATCAATAACTCTATATTAATAGTTGGGGAATTTGCATGCATACCACACCATCATTATGTATTTACATATCTCATGTCTAAACTTCCATATTTACATGCGTATTACTCGAATTTTCAGATTAAAAATACTACTATTATTAACTTTTAAAAGTGAAGTACACCTTTCATGTTTTGATTTATGACACCAATAGTTATAGGTGTAAATATTGAAGTTTGGGTGCTAGATATGTAAAAACAGAAGAAGTTTGTGACATGTATGTAAAATTCCCTTAGATTTTTGTTATCTTATGTTTGTCTTGCTTGGGGGTGGGGGTGATAGAGTTAGGATTTAAAGTGAGATGGGGATAATAAAAGATTTTTCTTAAATTGAGAAAGAGTGCAGGTTTCATACCAACGACCACACAAAATGTTTTATGGGCATAGATTCTATCAAAGTTGTGAAAATCAGATTGAAAATCAAACCAGAAGAAGGAAATGTTCAAGGTTCACTGGTTTGATCGGGATTGAACCAGAGGTTGGACCGGATGACGTAATGAATTATAAATTTATTTAAATATGAGATAAGTGATATATTTTTTAAAAAATTGATTATTAAAATATTAAATAAATATATCAATATTTAAATAATAAACACCATAATAAATTTTAGAAAATTATTTTAAAATTTTAAAAAAAATTATGTATGAGGTATAAAAATCGCATTATGATAATATAAAAAAAATATATGTGATGAATAAAAAAAAATATTATCAAAATCTAGGGGTAAAACCTTTCGAAGATATGTTGGCTGCTCTTCCCCATCCTTAAATCCGCCATGTGGCATTGAGGTGTAGTAATTATTTCTTCCAACAAACTCTATTTATTACCTGCTGGTTTCTACTTTCCAATGCCTTTTCTTTCCATTGGAAACTCCTCTCAATTGGAAACTCCCTATGCAAAGCTCGCCTTTTCTTTCCAACGCCCCTTAAGTATTAAAAAATACAATTTCTGGTCAAACTAGCCGGTTTTTGCCGGTTCAATCCGGTTCAATGTAGGGGCGGTTATTAAGCCAGCCCGAACCAAACCACCCGCTGGTTCACGGTTTTTAAAACCATGGATTCTATACTATAGATAACTATACTATCCAAAATTTTGGAGAGCAAGGGTTATGCTCAGCCTCTCCATAATCCGGCCACAGGGCCAATGGGAACTGGTGGAATCAAGGTTAGGTTGGAGTTACTCTCACCTTTTTAGGTTTGAAAAAAGCTGTACATGATTATATATAATATAGTCATTTTATATTTAAATTCTACTTTAATTATATATATTCTATATTTTTTGCTCCTCTAAATATTGGTTAAGCTCTTCTGACTTGAAATTAGAATTCACGTCTCGAGGATGCGTTAGATAGGAAAATACTTCATAATTGTGTTATGTTTGTAAATATCTTTCCTTTTTACTTTATTTTATTCCTGTTTTGATTTGAAATAAAATAGGTTTGATATATTAAAATAAATATATTATATTTTTATTAGTAGTTGTTTTTAACAATATTTCAAATAATCTGAAAACTATTTTGTATATTTGCAAAAGAAATTGGTTTGCTTTAAAAATCAAAACTAAAAATAAAAATGATTCCAAGTAGGCCATTATTAATTTGTTATGCATCCATCAAATTTTCAATTTGCTTCTCTACTCTTGCTTGCACATGTAACTTTTCTGTATGAAAATCATGATTTTCTGTAAAATTAGTTATCATGAATTGAAACATATGTTCTAATGGAGTTATATTTTTATATTAAATTTTCCTTTATTTTTGGTTGATTCAAAGAAAATGAATGAATCTGATTTGCAGCGTTTGCTTGGGATCAAAATGGCCACATTCCATCTCCAGCTTGTTTGCAGATGGAGCTCTGATGATTTTGAAGTTTACAGAGAAGCATTGAAACTCTCAGATAACGAGTCTTCCTGAACATTGTACCTAAATTTACTACCAAATTTGCCAGTGTTTCACCGAGGCCCTTGGCTGCAATTTTGTTTTTTCATAACTTTATTGTCATGCCAAAATTCTGGCTTGTAGGAGGGCGTTCTAGCTATTTTAGTATGAAATTTTCATTAATTTTGCTCGGTATTGATCAGGAAATATGTCATATTTACTTTATTAATAGCTTATAAGGACATAAATATACATGTTTTGATGATTTATTGACTTGCTTGTGTTGTGTAGGAAGCCTCGTTAGATATTGTAAAGATTGTTGTGGATGAATGCAGTGCAAGTGTTGTGTGGAGCAAGGATGGAATTTTTTCTTTTATTATTATCATGATTGGATGGATCCCTTTATAATTTTTAGTGATATTTACATACGTAGCACACTGTTCTTATTTATTTACATGTCTAACACTTAAAAAACTTTCATATTTTTTTTAAATTGCACTTTTAAATTTGTATAAAAATGTATATTTTATTTTTAAAAAATCGTAATAATATTATTTTGATGTGATATTAAAAATTTGAGTGATGTGTTTGTAAACAAGTTTATATGTGAGATTATCTGAAAGTGTATGAGTTGTGTAGAAATAAATTGGAAGGATTTTTTGAAGAAAATTATTTTCAAAATTTTTTTAAAGTTCAATGCGAGTCATTATGATTGTTGAGTGTTAGTAAACTTAGGATAGTAAGGTGATATTAATGTTTTATAATTATACGAAGATTCAGTATAAATAAAAAAAAAAAGGGCTGAATAGAAATTTTTACATGGAAAACTCAAAAGGTTAAAAATTATACTACGTGGTTTGGTTGAAATAATTTAGAGTGCGTTTGGGATAGATTGTGTGTTTCAGAATAAACTGTTTATTCTTAAATGCGCAGGGTTTGACCTGCAGCCTGCGCTTAGTTTAAAAATGCAATTACGTTTTCGGATAAGCAAACAACGCGTGATTCAAACGGTATCGTAGTGTTTTCAAAAATGCCACCGCACTTATAAGCTGTCCCAAACGTGCCCTTAACTATGTTGATGTATGTTACAAGACATTCCTAATCATTGAATAGGTAGAAGAAATGTTACATAAGTGAGAGTTATCGACATAACTTCTGATAGAGTAGCAGAATACTTTAGGGAAGTGGAGGTGATTTAACTGTTGTGAAGAAAGACCGATAGAGGTGTGCAAGAAATTTGATGTCGGCGTTGTCGGCAGCATTGGCCTGATGGCGATGGTCTGTGACGACGACGATGGTGACTTGGAAAAAGAGTTAACAACCAAATCCCTCCGCTTTCCTAATATACTTTGTCAGACCCCGGGTCCAGAAGGCGGTACACCCCAACAATGCTGGGTATATGATGAAATGAAATGAATCTGTTTGTATTCTCAAAGAAAGACTTGCATACAAATTAAACGAGAAAAATAAAATTTATTAATACTGAAAAATTCAATGATACAAATGGACTGAAAATGGTAAACTAGCTGAATCAAAACAAAAATGATAACATGAAACAATTACCCACACAATAAAGAAAAATGCAATAGTTAAAATAAATACCAAAATTGGGACGAACTAAAGAGTCTTCTCTGGTGAAGATGATCCTACTAGTGGCTGAATAAAACCTGCTATGTAAAAATATCAAAGAGTTAGTTTAACAAACACAATAACTAACGGGTATTTATTAAAGTATAAATGATATAACCAATGAGGACGACCACTAGTGCACATACATACATGCATACAGACATACATACATACATACATACATACATCCATACATACATCCATACATACATCCAAACATACATACATCCATACATCCATACATCCATACATACATACATCCATGCATACACACATACATCCATCCATTCATTCATACATACATAAATACATGCATACAATTGTTTTTCATTGACTAGATTCAGTGTAATCGACTCCCACCTAGATATGACATCATCATATAAAGAAAAATCATCTGATAATACCAACATAACTCCTTGTGTGCTACTAGCTGATGGAAGGTTCCACATATTCTGTTGATAAGTTCTCTTGAAGTCAGAGGCCTTGGCTCTGTAGTAGTTATAGGAGGATGAAAATGATGACTCGTATTGTTTTCCCAACGTGGCTGGTAGATACATGACTGGACGCATTACTGATTCATTTGGCGGGAGGTAAGGGGAGGATGATATGGAAGCATATGCTTTATCAGCCTTATCAGCAATCCTTCTAAGCCTGGGATATTCGAGGTCAACAAGTTGACTCTCGATATTAGGGTAGGCTATCTCTGGTTTTGGTGAATTTTATGGAGTTTCTGGGTACCAGGTAAAGACAGTACTCCATTAGATGCTAAATAATCAGCTATTCCGGCTACGTTATACTGGAAACCTGCATAACTTGTATTTGTAAGCCTTGCTACCAAGGCTCATGTGACTAGGAGATTAGATTCTCATGCTTGCCAGTGTTGATACCCATGTGTGAGTACCACAAGTTCCACGTGGTTGTAAAAGTCATGAATATACATCATGATATTTGGTGCAATATACACAAGTTGGGTTCCATGAGAGAGGTCAACCTCCATGGTTCCAACGATTGATACATATACCCAATTTGGGCATTTTGCTTGGCCCATTATATCAAAAGATGTCGCCCCATTGAGGCAAAGGATGAAAGAACACGATTGAACATTAGTTGGAAAAATTAAAGATTTTGTTAAAAAACTTCCGGATCTCGAAATCCCACCATCTCATGCATATATTATCTTAGAAACTGATGGTTGTATGGAAGGATGGGGTGATGTCTGTAAATGGAAGAACTCAAAAAAAGATTCAAAGTCGTCAGAAAGAATTTGTGTCTACGCCAATGGTAATTTCTCAATTATCAAATCTACCATAGATGCAGAAATTTTTGCATGTATGAAAACTATGAATTCTTTAAAGATTCATTATTTGAACAAATCAGATATTACTTTGAGAACTGACTGTCAAGTCATCATCTCCTTCTATCATAAATCAGCCCAAAATAAGCCATCAAGGGTGCGATGGCTATCATTTACTGATTTCATCAACGACTTAAGAATCACCGTCCACTTCGAACATATTGATGAAAGGAACAATATTATTGCCGACTCATTATCAAGGCTAACTTTTGTTCCTGTTGCAGGTGATCTTAGAATTAACTATATATTTTCAGCCGAAGAATGGATCCTTGAAGACGCAATAAAGGGAAGGAAGTATATTCAGAGATTGCATCAAGTGCTGATTTCCAATGGAGAATCAAAACAGACAAAGCTGCATTCGAGGAACGATGGCAGAGGTTCAAAAATGGTCGCCCTTGCAATTCAAGACAAGTCAACGACACTAGCTACATACACTGGGAATTACTGTAGTCATGCTTTGACCACCCCATTAATCTTGATGCTAGAACAAGGTTACAAAGAGCATCAAGTACCATTGAGCAAGAACAAGTCAAAAGGGTTATCGAGGAACTCAACATCCTACACACAATATACGAAACAAAATCTCTATATTGCAAATGCAATACCACAAAAGACAACTCGTACAAAGACCTCGGACCATATGTCTACCGCAATGAATCCGAGCTCAACACACTCATCCACACACTCATGCTGCTGACGGAAAAATGACTCCATAATGTTGTTTAGTGGAAGTAGTGGGCCCATCCCATTACTCAAAGACTGTACTATTATTTTCAAATGTATGTTTTGTAGGGACCACCCACTTATCGTGTGTCCGGTGGAGGTCCTTTCCACCACATGTTTGTCTGATGGAGAATCTTTTCTTCCACCAAATATTTACTTTCCGCCCCTGCTTTTGTCAATCAGTGGACAAGTCGGTTTTGCAGAGCTGGTTTCTGGTTTTATGTCAGCTCTTTCTTCTATATAAGTCAGTCTGCGTTTGAGTAGCAGACATCGGTACACAACCTTTGGTGTCTACTCTCAATTTGTATTAGTGTCTACTCTGTAAGCAATCTTATAAGCAATATATATTTTTTTATATTATTTCCGTCAAAAGTTCTAAGTGACCCCAAGACGGCGATCCTAGATCTATTCTAATCTGGTATCAGAGCCATGTTGGGCTAAACCTTTTCTTCGTATCTCAGGTGAACTAAGTAGAAGTTTTTATGTTTCTATTTATATAATCAACATAATTTGAGTAGGTTCGTTCTTAGTTTTGTTCATGTAATTTTGACATCCTGAGTTGAGGAGGTATGAATACTCTTTAACGTCCTTTTCAGTTTATGCATGCTTATTTCTGGGTTTATAATTTTTGAGGCTGAATACTGTTAGTTATTGATTTAAGATCTACAAATGCATATTAATCAGGACATTGTGTCCTATTAATTCAGTTAGTAACCGTGAGTGCCACGACGAGACTCTGTGGAATGAGCACTGTGGAATTGTAGGGGTGAAAAAAAATTAATAGGGTAGCATTCAGGAACCTGATTATGTTTCATTTTTTATCCTATTTTTAACAACTTGATCTAGATATCTGCTATAAGAAATCATAAATTCATGAATAAGAGTCATACTACTGAGGGCAGGCGAATTTCATGAGATAAAACTAATTAGGAACTTGAAAAGAGTTTTGATTTTATAAGCCGAATCATAAGACTTTGAAAGGATATACCTGAGGTATTTTTCATTGCGTTATTATCTCTCCTTTTATGAACGATTGGGTTCAATCTTCTGCATCTTCTGACTATAAAGCTGCACTGGCTGCAACCAATTCTCTTGAACCACCTGCTTTAGGTTTTGTTAACCTGGCTGAAGCACAACAAAACATTAGTTTTGCTCTTAGTGCTTTAATTAAACAAAACAACACTTTGATTCAACTTGTCCTTAAAGTATTTGATAGACTTCTCAGTCTTGTAGATCATATCAAAATCTTACAGAACGCTTGTAGTAACCAATCAGTTGATTCATTTGTCGAATCCTTGCGAAAACAGATTGAGGGCTTTTCTTTTCTGAAGTCCCTAGAACTTCTAGGATTTCTAAACCAAAAGGTAAACTTTTCGTTTACAAAGATCCCAAATCTATTTTCATTTCTGAAAAATCCAAAAAGAATCAGTAATATGGCTTCCTCATCCTCAACTTGAACTGTTACACTCCCACCAGTCTTAAACAACAAATCCTCTTCCCCTAACCATATATCTAATCTAGATGATCAAATACGAGATTATCGTATGCGATCCCGT